ATGTGTTTCCTTGAGAAATAAAATGACTACTGTCTCATCTTTCAATAATAAAGTCTTCTAAAGGAGAAGTTCCTGTGGGGGTTATGAGAAAAGGTCCACAAAGTTGCAGTGACTTTACTTTTATTCATTTTTGTTTTTGCATCTTCTTTGCTGACCTTCTCCCTCTCTCTGTTTCAGGTGTGAGAGCACAGTGCAGCTCCAGAGAGTCCCCAACACTGACAGTTTCTGTCTGATCCTCCCTCCCAATCTGAAGTCAGCCATCGCTGCTGTGACATACATGGCCGAGCAGCTGAAGAAGCAGGACACGGATGACTCAGTGAGTGTCAAGCAGCTTGTTATTCACTCTGCCTACAGTTCCTGAGTACAGATTGTTCCAGACATGCCCTAGCGATGTTCATGTGTCATTACCTACTTACGGTACATTGCTGACTCAGTTTTGTGTCTGCGTGTGTGCGTTCTCTGCAGCTGACAGGAGACTGGCAGTTCATCGCCCTGGTGGTGGACCGTCTCTTCTTGTGGTTGTTTGTCATCATCACCACCCTGGGAACTCTGGCTATGTTCCTGGATGCTAGTTTCAATTACACACCTGACAACCCCTTCCCATAGTGGATTCCATATGCACAGCAGCTGGAGTTTGATTCATTGTTGCCACTTTACTTCTACTTCTTGTTGGTGCTTTCTGAAATCCCCAGATCTGACTTTCCATAATATCTATTCCATAGGTGTGTGGTCAGCCTCTGAAATGCTTTGTAATTAACTTAACAAGTAGAAGCATGCCTGTGATTTCATGCCACAGAAATCGTGTAAAACAGTGATTTCTCTAAATGATCCAAATAACTCTATAACAATGTGTGATTGTTTTTTTCATTTTTTTTTAGTCTAACACTTGAAATACTTGTTTGTTTGTTTTTTGTAACACTCATGTTTAATGTAATTTGAAATACAGTAGTTAGCTTTTGACTCTGCCCTTTGACATGTAACTGTGGTCAGATTCTGGGACTGTAATGTTGAACTTTTGGCAGTAGAGGGCAGTGACGTAATGTTCAAAGATAGAGTCACTGCTGAGGAAAGAAAGGTATTTTTAAAGAGACGTGTTTTTGCTTATGCCTTTGCATGTATAATTTAAAAATATTTAATTTTTAACTACAACTAAATATTAAGATATATATGTGCTCTGTACTTATGAATGGTGTAAGTATGCTTTTAACACAGTGCAATTTTCCTAAAACCCAAATAAGTACACTTGAGTCTGTAGTGTTTAAATAATTTATCTAGCATTAATGATCATTTCTGTATTTTTTATTGACCTTAACCAGGAATGTATGACTAGTTTATATTTGTGAAGAGAAAGAGTATCACTTTAATGCTTTTAATATTCTAAAGGTTCATAAGATTAGATAAAAAAGGCAAACATATTTATAGAAAATACAGAATACTCAGTTTATTATATTCTCTGTGGAAGGAAGGGAGGAAGAGTTAGATACAAAGAGTTTAACTATTTTATCATATTTCTTTAGCCCTAATCCGAATCACTGGGGTCCATACACCCCAAACCCTACAGGTATATTTTTGTAATATCTTGCACGTGTTTTTTTTTTCTATCATTCCGATTTTTATGACTTTGTCAGTGCCGTGAAATTGTTGTTTTCTATTCCTGCTTTGCTTAGTGCTTTTTACAAATACAAATGTTTTGAGGTGCCAGGGGACCCCAGTTGAAAGCACCCAATTCCACCTCTGCAGTTTTAATAAACTGAAGTATTTGTTTACTTAATATTTGTCATGGTCTCTAA